AGAGAGAGAGAGAGAGAGAGAGAGAGAGAGAGAGAGAGAGAGAAAGTCCGTTTCGCGATATCGTATCGACCACGCTCTGTCCTTCTCTCACTCTCTCGGCTGATCGGGCGACGCAGCCGCTCGTTCCGCTTGATTTGCGTGGCTGTGGGGTTTTATCCGATCCACGCAAAGACGATCGCGGGAGGGAAACACTGCCGCGGGAAAGGAAACGAAGGATAGAGAGGACCGGCCGGATGGCGGGGGAAAAAAAAGAGTTGCCAAGTAAAAACTACCCGCACCGCCGATAAACCCGGGAAAACTCCAACTTCGTGGGAAAAAGTTTTCGCGCGGCATGGCACGAGGATTTAGTGCCCCGGCACCGGGAGCCGGCTGGAAAAGGGGGGATCGGCACAGCGGCAGGAGGCAGAGAAAAAGAAAGAGGCGGCGGAAGAAAAAAGGGAAAGAACGACTCGGGGGCGGACGGAGGGACTGGTCGGGGTCGGACGATTTGTCAAAATCCCGCGAACGACTTATAAGTTACAGCGTTCTCGCGCGCCCGTGGCGACTATCGCCTATCCAGCCGGAAGTTGAAGGCCCCGCGCCTTCGTTTTCGCGAAGCGAGCTCGTGCGAACGCGTGCGCACGATCGTGTGTATCCCGTACGTGTAACGCCGCGCACGATTCACCCTCGCCGCCGTCGGGGCCGCCCCCGCGTGAACGGGATATGCCGAGCGGAAGCAGCGCCTCGAGAAATTCAATTTGCCGGGAACTTGCGAGGCGCGTCACGGAAACCGTTGAACCTGACAAGCTCGTGATTGAACGACGGTATTTTCTTATCATTTAGCGGCGGTGGCGGCGGTTGCAGTGGCGGCTGTGGCAGCAACTGACAACGGCGGCGGCCGTTTGCCGTTTGTCCCGCGTCACTCGATTGCTCGATTACGCCCAAGGGGCTAACCGTTTCCGATATATAAAAAGCGGTCGCAATTATTGCGGCCACCGAACGGATTAATATTGGTTCACGTGTCCGATGGCTCGCGGATAACCCATTCTCCGTCTCTCTCTTCTGCCCCTTTCCCTCTATCTTTTTCTCCAGCTTCGGAGAGAAGCCGCTCGTCGGCTTCTTCCGAGTCGCCCGTTATATCGGTTGATACAAATGCAGCTCGCGCCGTCCCGTACATTCGACTCGGCCTCGACGAAATATCGTCGTCTCCGCTGTGCCACGAAGAAGAAGGCTGCCAACCGCGCTGCCTCTTTCCTCTGGACGAGCCACCTTACTAAACTTCCCTTTCCCCAACCTCCCTCGTCTCACACCCGCCATCTCTTCGGGATACGATCGGTTCCCGTGGGCCAGAGTTGTAATCCCACGGGAGTTATTGGATTCGGTTTGATCCACTGGTCGTTCGTCCGCCTTCTTTTACTCTTACTCTCCTCCTCCCAGTGTTCACCCTCTCCCCTCTTCTCCCGTCCTTGTCTTCTTAGATCCTTCTTTTACTCCTTTATCCTTCGCTCCGGGATTCCGTATCGGAAAGCTCGATCCGCCGATTCGCGCGGAACAGAAAACTGCAATCCTCGTTCGGGGAGCGATGAAGTTGAAGATTCCACGACGTTCGGGAATGAATTGACGACGAATTGATAGCGCGACGCGGCTCGCCGGCGATTAAGTTAATAATATTTGTCATCAGCTGAAACTACAGCCGGTGTTGCCCGGGTTATCACAAAATATCGGGAAGATGAAATCAGGGGGAGGTATCTAGCCCACTGATTCTGTATCGTTATTGTTATATTGTCGTTGCACACGTAGTAAAACACGTGGCAAAATAGCTGCACAACGACAATATAACGACACTGTCGTTAAAACTTACAGGAATAATAGGCAAGTTTCGCGCAGTCTATGCTTTTCGCGGGGTCCTACAGAGTAGCCGTGCAAAATTTGGTTCAGATCGATTAAAGAGTTTAGAGGACAAACAGACAGACAGACGTTATATTTTACAGATACACAGATAAGATTGCGCGATAAGAGTCTCGGCGAGTGTGTAGGTGAACGGGCCAGTTGGATGGTTTAGTTGGATGGAGCTTACTTGCGATTTCGAGGGCGATAAACGGCGCGAATGTAATCGAATATAAATTACCGCCGCGAAGTTAATAACCGCGCATCAAGCTTATTGGATATCGCGAGATCATTGGCGGTAATTAACGCCGAGCTGTGTAATGCTCGGCCATACGTGCGATATCACACACGCGTGGACACGACGCGCGCGCGTAAAAACCGAATCGACTCGTTTTAATCGCCGAGGAACATTAGCGAATATAATAGAGCTGTCATTTGCGAGATTAATAATATACAGATTGGATTTTAATCGCGCACGTTAGGTACGCTTCCGTACACACATCTCGTGTCATGTGTCGCGTTTATTTTTTTTTAGAAATGAATTAAACTCATTAGATCTCGCGATCACTTGCGTCGCTCTTCGAACATAATACTGTCAAGATTATCGTCGAATTTTCCGGGACGTATTCCCCCGCCCTTTAGACCGAGAATTTATCGGTAATGCGAATTGACGAAATTTACAATGAATTATTTCTCAAGTCGAAGATGCCAAATGTTCGGGCCGGCCGGCCCTGTCTTCGTTCCCGCGTCGTAGTATCTTTCACGATCCTTTTATAATTCAAGGGAAATATTGACTTCGATTTAATTCACTGCTCGTTCGCAGTTATCTCTCGTGGTTATCCTTCTCGCGACGGGAAAAAGCATCGAAAAGCTCAATCCGCCGCTTCGCAAGAAGCAAGAAGCTATTCTCCGGACTGAGTCACGTACGAATCTCCGGGGAACCGGCTACGAACGAAGGGTAGTATTTATCATTCCACGCACGGGGCACAAAATTTACAATTCAAATGCAAAAAGAGGCAACCTCTCGAGTTTCGTATTAAAAATTGCAATCGCTATCGAATAAACAATGATGTGGTAATATTACGATAATACATAAAACAGTAAACTAGTATTCTCCCTTCCCTCTCTCTCTCTCTCTCTCTCTCTCTCTCTCTCTCTGTTTCTCTCTTTTTCCCTCTGAATAATGAAATAACACCGTTAAACCGTAGTTTCGACGGTAACATTTTCAATACGGTCGAGTAATGCAGATATCGTGAAACAAAGTTTATGAAGTCGAAGTGTTTGCGGAACGCGTGACACCGAGATTCACTACCGAATTAGAATGCATCTTGAGTATGTATTTTCGCGATAATAAAATTTCCGTTCCCCATTTTTATCGAACAGAAATAAATTTCGCGATGCGCGCGACCAGAAATTCCAACAATAGCACACGGTTTGCCCCTATCGCATAACTACGTCCAATTAATTCCACATATATGTATGTTCTCGGCGAGTACGTGTATTTCAACCTGTTTTATTAGTGAATGAACAACGAGCGATCAGTGTATAAAAATTCATTTCGACGCTCTCGCCATTCCAGTCAATATGCGGGACGATTGATCATTCATTCACCGGCAGAAGCTCTCCATCTACCTACTATTCCCCCCTCCCCCTGCCTCTCGCCCTTCTCGCGCTCTCGAATCCAGGTTCAACTCTCGCCCCACCATCGCGCCTTCATAAGCTATATAATGTCCGATGCCGCAATAAAGTAGACCATCTATGAGCTATCCATCTTTTTTCTTACCTCACGAGATTCTTATTCTATATCTCCTTCTAGCCATTTCCTCCTTCCTTCCCCCTTCATCCTCTCCCTTACTCACTCTCTCTCCCCCTGCCGCTCCGAACGGGCTTCTCTCTAAACTTTTATGACCACTCACGGGGAGAATGGAGAACGACGAGGACAACGGCGATAGAGAACGGCGGCGACATTGGTATTCCGTTGACGTCCGCGAATTACAC